GGGACACGGTAAGGTTTGTTGAGAGCAGGTGGCGTTCATCCAACGGGTAGCTGGCCCGGACGGACTACAAAGTGCGAGTTGAAATGTCGCCGCCAAGCCGGTGTCGAGTCGGTTGGCGTGGAGGCAGTGCTTGAACGGGCAGTCCTGTAGTCCACGCGGCGGTTGACGATCGTTCTGCCAGTCGGACGAGCCGTTCACAGCGTCTGTCATTCTGTTGTCCAGTGGCACCCGCATTGACGGTACTTTTCGTTGCTCCTGGGAGGAGATCGTCTCGCCGCCATCGAGTTAAAATTTCTAGCCCATTATTAGCCTTTCACAACACTGATCGGCCAGCACACATGCGGCCATATCTAGGAAACTAGTCGGACAATGTACGCAGTTCTTTATTTTTTATTGTTCGAAATTGTCTTCCGAATACGAATAAAATGATATCGATGTCACCCTGAGGTGTTGGACTATAGCTAGTTCGTGAAAATGTCGCGCACCTCATGCAGCTTTGACGATTTATGGAAAACATAAATTGGCAACAGATACATATCTGAGCTCTGAGTCATGGCGATATTTCTGACAGCCACCAACGGGAATAACGCTACCTTTCACTGGTCCGACATCTATATTTGTATGATTAGCCGACACGTACTTATTCTCCATGCATGGTTCCCGCTATCATCCGTCGATTTATACCCGACCGCTTCTTTCTCGAATTTCACTCGATAAAGATACGCGCAATAGATCGCACTTTGCCCAGCTCCTCAACTGACCACCACTTACGGGCGACCCGATGAGCACACCGGTGAAGCCACCGTACCTATGCAGCGCAGAACCTCCTTCACTCGAAGAAGTCGAGGCAGCCGTTCGGAAGCTGAAGAATGGAAAAGCAGCAGGCGAAGACGGTGTACAGCCGGAGCTGCTAAAGGCCCTGCCACCCATGGCAGTCGAGACTTTCATTGGAGCGCTGAAGTCGGTCTGGACCAGTGGGCACATCCCGGAGAACAGGTGAACGGCGGTCATCTTACCGCTAGCACAAGAAGGGATCCGGAATTGAAACGACAAACTACCGTCGCATATCACTGCTCGACGTCTAGTACAAGATCCTCGAGCGCATCTTCGCCGACCGGCTGTCCGAATATTGGGAAAAGCGCACACGCGAAGAGCAAGCCGGCTTCCGCCCGGGAAGTTCCACGACGGATCAGATCTTCGTTCTGCGAAGGGCACTCGAAACACGGAACCGGTACAAGCAGCCACTCACTGTCGCCTTCCTGGACTACGCGTGCGCTTTCGACTCGCCAGACCGCGAGCGCGTATACGAGCTCCTGCGCAGCGACGGCGTTCAAGCGAAGATCGTTGAGCTGATCCGGGACATGAACTCCAACTCGGCGGCAGTCGCCAGAACATGCCCTGGTCACACTCGACCGATCAGTGTAGCCACAGGAGTTATGCACAGATCGGTGTTGGCTCCGATGCTCTTCAACTTCGTGATCGACACCATCATGAACGAAGCGGTCAAAGAATACGGAGGAGGATTTACCCTGCTCCCATCCGCGAAGCGGCTTACCGACCTAGACTACGCAGACGACTTGGTACTGCTGTCAGACAGCCGAGAAGTACTCCAGCGGCTCATCGACCGTGTTGCACAACACGCAGAACGGTTCGGACTCCGCCTCAAACCCACGAAGTGCAACATGATCTCCACGCTCCTGACGCGGAGCAGCTGACTAGCGTCTACGGTGAGCCCATAGAAGAGGTGCCGAGCTTCTGTTATCTCGGGTCAATCATCGCTGCAAACGGAAGTGTCACGGAGGAGGTGGCGCAAAGAATCGCAAAGGCAAGAGCCGCCTACGCAATGCTCCACCCGATGCCTAAGGAAAACGAACGTTTCCCTAAGAGATGAATATTCGCGTCTACATCACCGCAATCAGACCGATCCTGTCCTACGCCGCCGGAACCTGGCAGCTGACGCAGACGGAGGAGAACAGGCTGCGCTGCGCGAAACTTAGCATGCTCCGGTACGTCGTAGGTGCCAGCCGAAGTCAGAACGAGAACGGGACCTGGGCTACACCGTCGAACGAGTACGTGAGGTCGCACGTCAACGAGACGCACCCGCTTCAGCCGCTCTCGCTGCACGTCAAGAAGAACCGCCTAAGACTCCTGGGGCATAATCTCCGACTCAGCGACGTCCGACTCACAAAAATTGCGCTCGGATATGCAGGAGACCCAACATGGATGAGACCGCCTGGCCGCACACGTAGAACATGGCCGGAATACGCGAAACAGGGCATGGAGCGTATGAAAATCCGAGAACGATTCCGTGGAACGGACGTGGTAACCCATCGGAATCGCGGTGACTGGATACGCGTCACAGAAATGCTCGCAGAAGACCGCGCAGCGTGGCACAAACATAATTCGTTGAGAAGTGCGGACGGGAGGTGAACAGTACTGGATCACGCGCCGACAAGGACCCGTATTAAGTCAAGTAAGTCAAAATTTTTTAATCGATTACTTCTGTTGAAAATAGCGTTTAGAATGCGCTTACTCATTTTCCTGCGGCTACGTGTTCGCGCACTTGGTCTCGCGTGCCGTGCCAGCCAAATTTCAATAGTCCACCACCTCAACCTGGCATTGGTATTGCTTTTACCGTATGCGTGTGACACTTTAGAACAAGAAAAGCTAAAGATATTCGCACATTTTCTGACTGGATTCCTAGATACGGGCGCATACGTGCTGGCACAAAGCTCAGATGTAGCCATGAAACATCTCGGTATTTTTGCGAATTACCCATAGTCCTACACCTCAGCGCGACACCAATATTGCTTTCGTTGTATGCGTATGATAATTTCGAGTCAGTAAAGCCGAACAAAATGTTGTCCGACTAGGATTTCGAGTTACGGGTTGTTGGGACATTAGCGACAACCGTTGTTGTTTAGATGCTAAGCCACCCACTGTGCACAGGATGTGCGCGACATTTTAATGAATTTTCGATGGTCCGGCACCTCAGTCCGGCTGCAAAAATGCTTTCTCCACATCCGAAAGATCGTCTCGAACGATAAAAGCGAAAGCAATTCGCGGAATGTCCGACTGGATTTTGAGTTACGGGTTGTTGAGACATTAGCGACAACTGTTGTTGCTTTGATGCTAAGCACCGACTGAGCACAGGACGTGCGCCACATTTCACGTATTTGCGATGGTCCGCCACCTTAAACCGGCTGCGAAAATGCTTTCTCCGTATCCAAAAGACTGTTTCGAACGATAAAAGCGAAAGAATTTCCTGGATTTCCCGACTAGATTACGGGTTATGGGCTGTTGGGAGAATAGCGACACCCGACGTTGTTTAGATGCTAAGCACCCGCTGAGCACAGAATGTGCGCTACATTTTTACGTATTTTCGATGGTCCGACACCTCAATCCGGCAGCAAAAATGCTTTCTCCGTATCGGAAAGTCTGTTTCGAACAATAAACGCGAAAGAATTCGTGGATTGTCCGACTAGAGGTGACGAGGTGTTGGACTGTGGGGTGTCGGACTATGGGTAACTAGCGAAAATACCAAGATGTTCGATGGCTACATCTAAGCTTTGTGCCAGCACATATGCGCCCCTATCTCGGAATCCAGTCGGACAATCTGCGAATTTCTTTAGCTTTTCTTGTTCGAAAGTGTCACAAGCATACGGTAAAAGCAATATCAATGCCACGATGAGGTTGAGATTGAGAGATGAGACTATTGAGATTTGGCTGGGCATGGCACGGAAGACCCAGTGCGCGAACACGTAGCTGCCGGAAAATGAGTACGCGCATTCTAAACGCTATTTCCAAGGGAAGTAATCGATTTGAAATTTACGTGCGCCACTTCTAGCCCATTATTAGCCTTTTCCAACACTGACTGGCTTGATCGGCAGCGGTGGTCCGCCGCTCCGGCTCAGCTTCGTGCTAGCGCACATGCGGCCATATCTTGAAAAGTTGTCGGACAGTGTACGCACTTCTTTAACAAATTGTCTTCCGAATACGAATATAATTATATCGATGTTACGCTGAGGTGTTGGACTACAGCTAATTTGTGAAAATGTCGCGCACCTCCTGCACCTTTGGCGATTTATATGAAAACATAAATTGGCTAAATATACATATCTGAGATCTGGATTCTAGGCGATCTTTCCGATAGCCACTACCGGGAATAACGCTACTTTTCACTGGACCGACACTTAAATTTGTGCGATTACCGGTTTTGGCAAAATATTTCCTTCTGACCCGCCATGCCCGTGCCTGCCTACCGCTCACTATCGCATGGAAGCAAGAGTCAGGCGTTGGAACTTTGATCGGTCATAAGTTTTTCTCGCCGATCGATTCGACTGAAACTTTCCACTTTAGCATAACCTTAAAAGCACTATCGAATCTTGCCGAACCCAACTCGATACTGAAAACATTTTGTCGCCGGACACAGAACAGCGCTTTAGTGTATGAGGATGTAAAGGGTAGGTAGCTGTTCCAAAGAAGCCATAACGTTTTCCACAAACTGCTGAAGTGTCGTGCCCTTTTCGTATGTTTGCTCGTTCAACTTCACTGTCGAAGCAACATTGCCCGCCCTGAGTCTGGCTTAGACACTGCTCAGTTCTGATCGGCATAATTTGGACACTTTTGTTTAAAAGAGTTTTATTTGTGGACGTTGACCAATGTTTAATGGTCTCAGCTTCGTTTGGAAACCCAACCCAAGGTGCACACTTATCGAAAACACTAGTTATTGAAAACTAATTGCAACTAGTTATTGAAAACTAGTTGCTTAAATTTTCCAAGCGAACGTCTTCCCCTGCGAAGACTGAAATCTCTCCGCTTATCTTTCTTTCTGGACGCCGAATGGCGTCGAACTGGCGTAACTTACCACGGAAACTCGTCTAAAAACTTTTTGCTCAAATTTTCCAAGCGAACGGCTTCCTCTACAAATTGAGACCGCTCCGTTTACCTCAGTTCTGGACGCCCAAGAGCGACGAACCGGCATAACTTATTACGGTAACATGCTTAAAAACGTTTTGCTTAAATTTTCCAAGTGCACGGCTTCCTCTACAAATTGAGATCGCTCCGTTTACCTCAGGACTGGACGCCAAACGACCCACGAAGCGGCGTGACTTACCACGGTTACTCGTTTAAAAACTAGTTGCTTAAATTTACCAAGTGAACGGCTTCCCCTAAGAACACTGAAATCGCTCCGTTTACCTCAGATCTGGACGCCAAAGAGCGACGACGCGGCGTGACTTACCACGGTTACTCGTTTAAAAACCAGTTGCTTAAATTTTCCAAATGAACGGCTCCCACTAAGAACACTGAAATCGCTTCGCTTACGTCAGTACTGGACGCCAAACGAACAACGAAGCGGCGTGACTTACCACGGTTACTCGTTTAAAAAC